GGTCCCTCTCCCCAACCTGTGGCTTTAGTGTTGTCCTCTGTAGCACATACTTCTTGGGAGGGGGATGGTCAGTTTGGCTCTCACTGGGGCCGGCCCTGTAGCTCACTCTGTCCCGTTGCCCTCAAGGTTTGGCATGTCATGGTGGGGTCTGCATGAACACTCCCATTTCTGTGAAGACATAAACAATACTCTCCCCCTGGGTGGGTTAGTGCCCTGCCCCCACCCCCAGTGTCATTGTCGCCCTCTTTTGTTCCCCCTTTTCTCCTCTCCTGCCCCACTTTCCCCTTCTTTGTGTTGGAATGACATGTACATCCTTGGGTTTGGCCTGTCTCTCACCTGACTGCCTGTACCTCAGCCCATAAAGTGTGAGTGAGACAAGCAGCTTTTCTTCTATACCTACTGTGCTGATGATGCTTACCTCAGTGGACTCATGTTGTACCTGTCCTTTTGTGATTGGCTCATTTCCCTTAGAATAATTTCCTCCAACTCTTCCCATGAGACGATGTGATTCATGCAATCATCCGTGCTTTTTAGTGATGCGTAGTACTCCATTGTGTGTATGTGCCAGAGCTTACTGATCCACTTATTGTTCGATGGAAATTTAAGTTGTTTCAAATTCTTTGTGATTGTGAATTGTGCCGCAGTAAACATTGCAGCACAGACAACTGGCCGTAGTCTATTTCTTAGCTCTTCTGGGTCTATGCCCAGTAGAGGGATAGCTGGGTCATAAGGTAGATCAATTTCCATTTGCTTTAAATATCACCAGATGGCTTTCCACGGAGGCTGTACAAATCTACATGACCACCAGCAGTGGAGGAGAGTTCCTATCTCACCACATCCCCTCCAACATTTGTTGCTCTCTGATTTTCTGATTTGGGCTATCCTCAACAGGGTTGTGTGGGATCTCATGATTGTTTTAATTTGTATTTCTCTTATGGTTAATGATCAGGAGCATTTTCTCGCATGTTTATTAGCTATTTGCGTAAATTTTTGTTTATAGAATAAAAAACTATAAATAAATTGTGTTAGATTTATGTGATCCTTGGATCACACTGGCTAGTGTGCTTCTTCCATGTGGACTTAATTGATGCCTCACTTAGATGGCTGCTTATTTGAAGAAAATACCCCAGATGTTATTTTTTTCTGATACTGGGCACCAGCTGGGTTCTTGACTACACTTTGCTATAGAATGTATATCTTCAGTGATCTCTTCATGTGAGTAAGCATTGACCAGGGCCATCTCTTAAGAATAATTCTTAGGTTGGGGCTAGAATTAGGTGTGAGCTCAAAATCTACTCATATATCTATAGGTTATGTCGATCTCTAGTTCCCTTTTTCAATAAAGGCAACTGATTTGTTCATCACATTTTAGACCCTGCCCTTGTGACCATAAACAAATAGATTCTGATTTATAGCGACTCTATAGGAGAGAATAGAACTACCCCCATAGGTTTCGAAGACTGTACCTTTGGGCAGGAGTAGAAAGGCTCCTCTGTCTCAAGAGTGGCTGGTGGAGCCTGTAAGATGACAAAGCGGTGAAGGGATCAGGTATCAGGCATCAAAAAAAAAAAAAAAATCATAACATTGTGAATGAGGGGGAGTGCAGAGTGGGGACCTAGGGCCCATCTCGGGGAAATTGGACATCCCCCTGCAGAAGGGCTGTGGGGAGAAGATGAGCCAATCAGAGTGCAGTGTAGCAATGATGAAATATGCAATTTTCCTCTAGTTCTTAAATGCTTCCTCCCCCCCACTACCATGATCCCAATTCTACCTTACATATCTGGCTGGACTGGAGGATGTACACTGTGGCACAGATAGGAACTGGAAATACAGTGAACCCAGGACAGATGAACCCCCCAGGACCAGTGGAGAGAGTGGCGATAGCAGGAGGGTGGAGGGAAGGTGAGGGAGAAAGGGGGAACAGATGACAAGGTCTACATATGGCCTCCTCCCTGGGGGACAGACAGCAGAGAAGTGGGTGAGGGAGATGTTGGATGGGGTAAAATATGATAAAATAATAATTTATAAATTATCAAGGGAGAGGGGGGAGGGAGGAGCGGGGAGGGAGGGGGGGAAATGTGCTGACACCAGGGGCTCGAATGGAGGGTGGGTGTTGTGAGAATGATGAAGCCAACATATGTATTAATGTGCTGGGCACAAGTGATGTATGTACGGATTGTGATGAGTTGTATGAGCCCCTAATAAAATGATTATTAAAAAAAAGTGGCTGGAGGTTTCACACTGCTGCCTTGCAGTCAGTAGCCCAACATGTAAACCTGTAATCCTGCTATAGGGAATAATTCACTCAAAACGTATCCAACTCTGGAAGGTAGAGATTAATGTTATCCCCGTTTAACAAGTGAGGAAACCTGAGTCTAGAAAGATAAGTGACTTGGCCAAGTTCACAGAGTAAGGAGTAAACCCAGGCTATCTGGCTCTAACAACGGTCCTTCCTTGTTACACTGTGCTGCTCTTTGAGTGTGACACCAGGCAGGAGTTGTTTAGCCCCTTTAGTTTCTAGATACTGGTCTCATCTCTGTTCTCTACCGTGTGTGTCTTGAAAGAGGCTTAGCCTAAGCTTTCTACGTACAGATGAATGATCTGTATAGGGAGCATCCAAAGAGAACTTCAGCTTTGAGTCCAGACTCTCAGAACAAGGAAGGTGGCAAGCATATCATTCACTACAATTACATAATTGCCTTTCCTGGTGATCAACCAAGAGAGCCGCTCAGACAAGAGAGAACGTCTCCCAAGCATCATTCTTCTGTAAGAGAATTGGCAACCATGGTGTATTCTGTATAAGTTAAATAAAGCCTAGGTCTGTTTTTGACGGTGTAAAGGCACTGCTGTAGATGAACAGCGTCTCATGGAAGCTGCTCTTTATCATTACTGATTGAAAGGCAGGCCAGGATAGAAGTCCGAGCCAACTCGGGGAAGGTTGGCAAGGGCACTGGAGTCGCACACAGTTGAACAGACTCTCGTGTCCTCCTGTAAGTGAGTCTCAGAAAGGCAAAAGCCCTTGTGATTGGTACTTTTCTCCAGCAGAAATCCAGCATTTTGATAATTTTCTGGTTTCCCTAAATTTACAGAAATCTTTCGAAGTGTCTTTGAATGATGACGATATTTTCCAGAAATTAAACTAATGAAAAGAGAACCACTTTCAGCAGGAATTCCTTAATTGTTTTTTAATGGTAAAGATCGTTTTTTAATGAGGTGTGGGGGTTGGGGCAGTGGCGCGAGGCAGTCTTCAAGAGTCAAGCAATTATAGCAAACCTTGCTGAGTTTTAATATCGCAGATTCCTTTCCTTAACAGATTGAATGAGTAGCATAAGAAGAAAGGCTCAGGGACTCAGGATGTCTAAATTTCATAAAGTGAGTCAGGAGTACTCAGTGTCCTCGTGAAGATATTTGACAGGTATCAAGTCTCCATACTCTTCAAGTTTAGCTGACATTTTTTGCATTTCTTTTGACAATTTTTGAGTGAGCTGTACCTACAGGGAGTAATTGTTCTTCTTGCTCAGTCGTTGAGCAAAGTATTAAAATTGTTTTAAGTTTGTGCCCAGGCCAGGCTAATTTTCCAATATGCATTACTATAGAACAAAATGGTTATGATAAATAGAAACATAAGTTCAATGGATAAAAACTGAAATTATACTAAGGTGAAAATTATGCATCTAGGGAAGATGGAAGCATTCACATTAAAATGATAATGGTAATTCTTTTAAGATATTTTTATTAAGTTAGAGTTTAAAAATATTTCCCCAAGTTTTCTAAAAAGAATGTGCACTCTTTCTGTAACCAGGAAAAGGTGTGTCTGGATACCCATATGTAATTTTTTTTACCTGAATCCCAATTTTAATGCTTAGCTTCTATCCCAGTATTCTGTTCCATATTTAGAACTGCAAACCTCATAAAGGGACAAGTGGAGTTTATAATAATTTGCTTTTTAGAGTTTCCAGAAAGGAAGGGTGTGAGATGGAAAAGCAGATAGGTGATTTTCTCACTACTTTTAAGTTAGGTCAGGAAAAGACACATTATCTTACAAAAGATAAGTGCCAATTTTTTTAAAACTGAAAATCACCAACACAGAGCATAGCTGTCAATGTGCTTCCGTGAACGTCTGAAACAGTGAAGGAAAGGAAAGGCAGGAACATGGACTATGTGGCACAGTTCGATGGCTAGGTGACCTTGGTGCTCTTGGCTTAGAGGACATTACTGTTGGATGCTATAGTGGCCACGTCTTTCAGAATAAAGAAAAGCAAGGTCTCTAGGTACCTGGCAATACACACATGCACGACCCACACCCAAGTCTGGCGAAGACCAACAGAAAACATATAGCAAACTCAAATACCAACCACCTTTGGATGGAGGTGGTTTTATACATTAGGGCTGTAAGAATCATGTCAAAGAATTACAAATATGTGGAGATTTTGATAAGTGTAAAATACATTCTCCTATGGTGACTAGCTCATCAATTTTCTGCAAAACAAAAAGTACCCAAGATTCGATGCTTTACATGTGGTTCATGTTATGTACCATTTGAAGGGGATGTGAATGAGAACGCTCCTTAAGAAGAACCTTCTGACATCTGTGTAACTCAACCTCATGGGTGAACTCCGAGGTGCCAAATCAACATGTTCTACTTCAGGCCCCAGGGCAGCAGGCCAGAAATTAAGGGCACATTGAGTGGGTGGGGTTCTTTCAGTTCCCATTTGTAGCATCTTTGCAGTTTTCTGAGACTTGGCATCGGCATGTCTGCTCACTGACCAGGTTGGAGAGGCAGTTCTCTTTGTTCATCTTACAAAGAGAAAGCAAAACTGTATTTCTCTTGGGATGCCATACCCAGATCTTCTCTGGGCTCGAGACACCTCACACTGGTGGACCTGTGAACAGTCCCTTTTTCTTCTACCCTCTGTGGGTCTCGTCCCTCAATCTACTCCTCCAGTGTGATGACTCCCTCTACTGTCCCAAACTCCTCCTTTCTTTTATTTGTCCTCCAGGTCGGATCCCCAGAGCTGTGGCCTCCATCAACCAGCACCTCCTGCAGTCCGATGACGTCGTGAGCTGTTGCCTTGACCTTGGGGCACCCAGCATCTCCTTCCGCATCAACGGGCAGCCAGTCCAGGGCATGTTTGAGAACTTCAACACTGATGGGCTCTTCTTCCCTGTGGTGAGCTTTTCAGCAGGTGTCAGGTAAGTCATGGCTGTGGTTTCATGGAGAGTAGTAGCTATTCCACTGCCCATGGAGTGTGGTAATCTCCTTCGGGGTGTCAGAACCCCAAGTCAGATGCCCATGGAAGTCTGACGGTGAAGGGTGGAAGCAATGCAATCATTCAGTAAAGACTGGCTGAATACATACCTCTTCCCTGGGTCCATAAGACACATTCAAATAAATATCAAGAAAAAATAAGTCCTATATATAAAGTCACTTGAATAATTCAAAAGTCATATATTCTGATTATAAAAATTTGAAAGACATCAGTAAGATAATGAAAATCACCTGTGATTCTAAGGCCTAACAATAATCTCTATTAGTATTTTGTTATTTTATTCATTTTTCTCCAAATATGTGCTACTGCTACTGGTTTTGGTTTTTTTAACTGGCACTGTGCTGAAAGTGAAGTTTTGTATCTTGATTAATTTTTATTCGGTAATAAGTAGTGAGTCTTTCTCCTAGTCGTTAACTATCCTCCTCAGAATGATTTTTTTTTTTTCTCAGAATGATTTTTTGTGGCCCTGTCATATCCTGTCATTTGGCTGTTGCGTAATACAGCCATTACTTTGCTGTGAGACCTGTAAGATGACCTGATTTTTGTTGTTACAAGTGAAATCTCAGTATACCGTTCTAATTATGTAGTTCTTCCTAGCAGTAGGCCATATGATAAGAACTTTTAAAACCCTAAATGCACTGTCATGTAGCTGAATCGACTTTCAGGAAAACTGTATAAAGAATTCAGAATTCCTCCTAAACTGTTCCATGTTTGGAAAGCTTTGAAAACCAGAAAATTTTCCATAAATCTGCTAGCAGCATAATCTGCCCTGGGTCCGTGGGGTGGCAAAAATTGGCATGAATAGGTGTGAAGCTGATTTTCATTTCATATTCTGTTTGCAAATATTTGTGTCCAAAAATAAAAAAGAGTGCTTCTGGGCCCTGCCCCTTACCCAGTTAACGGTTCAGATTAATGAAGAGGGCCTGCGCTTGATTTCGTTCTTTTAAGAACGCGGAAGTCTGGAACATACCTTCAAAGATTTCAGATAAAGGATTTGGGCATGTACTGTCATTGATAGCAGCCCATGGGGACGCCTAACTAATTGGATCTTCAGTAACCGCGGTACAGTTTTAGGTGTGTTTTTTTTTTTTAATTCTGATTAATTTGAGAAAATTTTATCGTGGAGTTTCAGTTTTCCATTTATTTGACTTCCAATGAGGTAAACATTTTGCAACTTAATACTCTTGTCAATTTCATGTTCTCGGCCTTTCACGGTTTATGGCTTTAAGTGTTTTTTTAACTTCTTAAGGTGAGCTGGGGGGCAGTTTTCAGAGCAGGGGACCAGTTTTATATTCAGCAGATCTTACGCGTTGTGTTTCCACTCAGTCACAGTAGTCACCCCAAGGCTCCATCACTGATCCCATTTCCCCCTTGTCTTTCCTGTTTCCATTGGGCTTCCTTTCTTACCTCGCGGGGCTTTGCCATTGGTTGAATGCTGCCCTTCCGGTCTTACGTGGTGGAGGATTCTAACACGGGTGAGCTCAGGTCCAGACCGGAGGGTTCATAGTCCGGGGGTTCCACCAGTTGAGCATTTCAAAAACGTCTCTGTTATGGCTGTTAAGGCTCATCGTACTGGTTGAAATACTTTCTTCAAGTTTGTGATTTACCTTTCCACTTCTGTGTTTCCTGATTGGGGTTCTTCCCTTTGGTGAAAATGATGCAAGTCAAATAAAAAATTTGACCACAATGGTACCTTTTTACCTCGACCTTTGAATATGATGTAGAGCACCGGCCTGAACTGTGCATGTTTCTGTTCTGTCTGCCATGGCAAACGATTGTTCGCTATGCTGCCAATCAGTTCAACAGGGTTCTAATGACTTCAGCCATACAACATCTTCACAGGGCAAGACTCCACTGGGATGCTTTGTTCTCTACAACCTTTTCATTCTCCATCCCTGCCTTGTGAAAGGATCGCAGTCAAGTGCGCTAGGAAGTTAGAGGGACCACAGGAACACTGGAAAGGGGCTGTAAAAGTAAGAGATTGTCTAGTGGCAAAAATCCTTGTGGACAGTAGGAGCTTAGAGCTGACCCACAGAGAAACCGTCTCAGGTGCCGAATTCCCGAATGAAACCAATATAGTCTGTTTATGGACGACATGGGGCTTGAGAAAACAAGACCTAACCCTGGGTTCCGACAAGGGATAAAGTTGGGTTCTGTTTCCTTATATGGCTAATGGAATAAAAAATTATCCTTTGGAAATGATATTCAACCTTTGGAATTTGAGATAGATGCCTATACTTCAGTGCATCTGATGACATATTTACAAACATACATGTGTGAATGACTACAATATATTGAAATTAAACATGGTTGCTTCTTGTAACAGAGCATGCTAAAGTAAAACTTGATTCGGGTTGAAAATGTACTGGTTAAGGATATAAGCCAGGAATTTTCCCTCAGGCCCCAGGGACTACATGCTAAAGAAGGAAAGCTCTCTACCAGTGGAGGTGACACGGGGACAGGCATTAGACTGCTAACCTCAAGGTCAGTAGGTCAAGGCCACCAGCTGTTCCATAAGAGAAAGACAAGGCAGTAGAGTCAGTCTCAAAACCTTATGTAGCATCACGATGAGCTGGATTCGGTTCAGGGCTGTGGGTTTTAGTTTAGGGGACAGGGGCACTGTTAATCCATTCCAGTTGGTCTTGTTAAATGTAGCCCCACAGGTTTCTTACTAATTAATATCTGTAACTCATGTCCTAGGACCCCTGTACAATAGGGTAGAACCGCCCTCTGGGTGTCAGAGGCTAAAGCTACCATCTGTGGGTTACGTTGTAACCACTACAAAACGTACGTCAAAAGCAAGGGATGTTTCTGAGAGACAAGGACACTGTAAATACAAAGTTCACTGACCCAAAGTCTAGCAGGCAAAGAAAATCAGTTTATACATTTATATTGGAGAATAAAGAGGAAGATTAAACATCTAACACTTGCCTTTGGGCCATCTGCTGTTGAGCTCAATTTCTTCTCTGGCCTCGGAGCAGTCCGGTCCAGGACCGCCTCCGCGGGTGGTGCTTAATGACCCCAGTCACCCAGCATTGTAGTCCTTCCCTTCTTCCCTGGTTTTGACCAGGCCCCCTCACTGGGTTATACTTCCTGTTAAAGAAAGTATGCCTTCTTCCCAAATGTCTCCTCAGAGCAAACCACTTAGCAAGGATTCAGATCTCTGAAGACAGTCCTTCTCCAGGCTTCTAGCTAATTGGTGGTTCTGCACTTTGTGTGCTTAGTGCCTGCGATCACGCATTGCAGAAGGGCACTTAGTCATGGGGGCTCCTTCGAGGCTTCCTCAGAGAGGGGCTGTTTGCATGCATGCATTTGGGGTGGGATGAGGCATTCTTTAAAAGGTTCTTTTGACAAAAAAAAAAAACCAAAAAACCTGCAGCCGGCAGGTGAAGAAATGGGTGATTATTGGAAGACACCTTCCCAGCGGTGTTTTCAAGCATCTTATGTCTAGGTCAGGAAACCAAGGAAAGTTGCCTGATGCCGAAAATGAGCCATCTAACTCATTTAGAGTGTCAACCACAAGAATTTAAGGCATGGAGGGATCCGGTTATGTGTATTTTAAAAGTCAGCAGCTTAGATGTGATAGCATTTTCCTTTCAACAACTGAACCGGTGGTACTCACAAGAGCAGTGCCAAGGGGCTTGCTGTTTCCCCAGTCTCCTTGCTGAAGTCTTGATACATTTCTGTCTTTGGTGCTCAGGCTGTGATACACTATGAGAAGAGGTGGGAGTCCCATAGCATGCTCTGTGGAGAAGTAGACTGGAATACAGCCAGTCCATCACATGATGTCTTTGATCTGGTTCAGCTCTGATCCTGTAGCTGCTGTTCTATTTTTATTTCAGAGCAAAATTGAATATGAAAATACTGATTAAAATTTTGTTCTGCAAATTTGATATAATAGTTAGCAGAACGCAGATCCTCATCAGCCCTTATATTCAGCAGTTCATACACATTGGGTTTCAACTCCTCCATCGCAGTTCCCTCACTACTGTACCATTGCTTGTTCACTTTTTCCCTGGGTGTCTCATTTCTATTGCTCCCCCTTTACTAGCCCTCTGGACTTTGCCATTGTGTAAATGCTGCTCTGTGGTCTTCAGTGGTTAATTACTCTTATCATAGAGTGAGTGCAGTTGCAGGCGTGAAGGGTGACTATGGGCCTAATTTATGAGTGAGTTTTTATTTTTTTAATCATTTTGGGGGCTCATACAGCTCCTACCACAGTCCATCCATTCATCCATTGTGTCAAGCACATGTGTTCATATGTTGCCATCATCATTTTCAAAATTGTTTCTTTCTACTTGAGCCCTTGGTATCAGCTCCTCATTTTTCCCTCCCTCCCTCATGAACCCTTGATAATTTACAAATTATTATTGTTTAATATCTTTCACTGACCGATGCCTCCCTTTACCCACTTTTTAGTTGTCCATCCCCCAGAAAGGGGGTTATATATAGATCATTGATCGGTTCCACCTTTCCTCCCCCTCCTTCCCCTTACTCTCCTGGTATTGCTTCTCTCATTATTGGTCCTTAGGGGTTTATCTGCCCTGGATTCCCTGTGTTTCCATCTCTATGAGTTTTTAAATCTTTCTTCTCCATTTTCCTCCCACCCTCTCCAGGGTCTTTTTCAGAGCAGTTGGTAGTGGTAGCTGGACACCATGTAGCTATTCTGACCTCGGGGTGATGGGGATTGATGCTTACGTGGTCCATTAATTAGCCCACTGGACCAATTGTCTTCATATGTCTTTTGATTTTCTTCAGTCACCATTCCTCTGGCCAGGGAGAGACCAGAAGCTGCGCCTTAGGTGGCTGCTCACCAGGTGTGAAGCCCTCAGAGACGACTCGCCTAAATAGGCTGTAGAGCATCGTCTCTGTGCCCTGTGTTATGCCAATATACACTGTTGTCCAGTAGACACGATGGCCTGG